GGGGGGGGGGGGGGGGGGGGGGGAGGGGACGCGACCTGTTGGTCTTTTCGTCACCTTCTTTTGCGCCTGCAACCGTCGAAGGTAGTCCTTCTGGCTTGTTCGGAACCCTCCCGAGAGGGATTGGAGTTTCCGTGCCGTGGCCCTCTGAATGTTGTTACGCACCTGTGGACCGGACGAGCAGACAAAGAGCGAGGACAAGGAATAAGAAGAACAAAACACGAAAAAATTACAAAAAGTACACCATAAACAGCATAGAACACGCTCCTCTTTGTAGGAGAATACGTGACTGTTGACAAGTGTTTTTTAATGTGCAGATAACAGCAACAACAACAAACACGGGCACACCAGAAGATGATTGCATCCAATCTCTCTTGCTTTCTTCCCGGGACAACAGAACGATATTCAGGGCGAATCCTACCCGTCACCGCTGAAGGCGTCATCAACCACCACGCCCGCCGCCGAAACAACTTCGAGCGACACTTCGTCTTAGCAGGCCAATAGCAACTTTCGAGCTCCCGACGAACAAATGTTTCAGGCTACCCCAAGACAGGAAAGTCGCAGCTTATGCCCCCCAAAACAAAATACTCTTCAGCTGCTCAAGACCCAACACTTTCAGGTTTCGTGAGGCAAACATTGACCTTACCGTCGCCTCCGCCGGCGTTAGCCCCGCCGATTCCCCCATGAGGTGCTTGAGTTGTCTCTCTGCCCGACGGAAAAGCGCGGTAACCTAGGCAGGACGGATACGAACAGAGAACAATGAGAAATCTTCGTTAAAACGACACACACAAAACATACGCCCACATTCCATTGGTCAGCCGATTAGCGCGGTCGACGCCAACATAAAACACACACAAACTACACATGGCAGGCATGCCGAGATTGACAAAAACCCGTATATTGCACAAACTGTACCTCTCGTGTGGCATCTTCTACGTCCCTCTCCCTCTCCGCCTCGCTCTCGTCGAACGTCACCATCAGCCTCTTCGTGTGAAGAGCCGAAAGCTCCCTCACTGATTGGTTGCGTTCGAGGACATGCCGCCGCCGCAGCAACGTAGGACGACACGTAGACGAGGGGGGCGCACCGTCGTCGTTCAGAGTTTTTGTAAGACTTTCATTGCTGCTGCAAGCTTTATGGAATCCAAGAGAGAAGAAGGCGATTGTCTCACACCGAAATCTCTGTAACGTCTTCGTTGTTTGCACACACGAAGACACTACACACGAAGACACAGTTGGTTCGTTGCCCTCGGCGAGGTTTGGACAGCGTTCCATATTTTCCGAGATGCTTGTTTGAGGACATCCTTCCTATCGTAGCTTTGCCCAGTCTCTCCGTCTCCCCACAGCGTGTGATACCGCGCAACATTGCACGTGGGTCAGTCGTGTCGTGTGTGCTACCTGTATGTACCTATAAATGGTCCATCCACCTCTCCTCCCCCCTCCATCTCTTTCTCCCTGTCTTTCTCCCTCTCCCCCCCCCAATAGCTGGATCAGGCGCACATCTACGAATCGCCTTTCTCTCTCTCTCTCTCTCTCTCTCTCTCTCTCTCTCTCTCTCTCTCTCTCTCGCTCTCTGTCCGTCTGTCTGGCTCTTGGTCTCTCTCTCTTTCTCTCTCAACCTCTGTCTCACGTTTGAGCTGTATGAGGCGAACATCCTCCTCCACGCCGTCGACCTTGTCCACCCACAGTGGCGGCAGCTGATGGCGGGTCGTAGCCCAGCTCGTGCCCGTGCTCGCGTCCTGTCCGACACGACACGACACGACCAAAACACACCCAACACAACACAACACAACACAAAACGAGTAATATAAGCATCACAATGGACCAGCATCAGAAAACGCACGGTACGAAGGAGCTGTAACTGGAGCTACACCCTCGCGTCCTGTGCAGCGCAAACACAACACAATACGAAACACACAAGACACCACGGGAGGAAGAGTCCACAAAATGTTGCACGCCCGCGTTCGACAACATGGAACAACTGAAAATCCGATGTATTCGAAGGCTTCCCTCGGAATCGAGATACTTTTGTTCTCAGCCCCTCTATTGAATTTTCATTTCGCTGCGCCCATTGAGACCATCAAGTTCATAACCGTGGCGTGTGCTCCTCATCTGGATCGCAGGGGGATACAAGATTGTGGAATGTCTGAAGCTGGTCCAGTTGAATGCCGTCATTTCTGATTATCTTAGGGTAAGAGAATGGATTACCTTAGGGTACGAGAATGAAGAATGTTCCCAAGAAACGGTCCGGCTGTATGCCGCAATTTCACGTTTATCACGAGCAAGGCTCGCAAGACGATACATATACATAGCAGGGTGCTTCGAGTTGTGAAGAAGGTCCCGGACAGCTGTCACAAGGCGAATTTGACACGTTTGGAGCGGGCCGAGGCAAGGCCGTAGCCACTCGGCGCTCGGCGACAAGCAATACAGAAAGCGCCACCACTGAAGAACCTCTCATTTTGCCCGAAGCTCGTTGCTGATCTTGTCGATCGGGTACTGCTGTACACCTCGGCGACTACTGCAAATAGTTATTGAGTGTAGGCTTCTTCACTGGGCATCTGTTGTGATGGCCAACTTCTTAGATTTGGATGTTCTTAGGCCCAAATTCTCAAGCGCTAAGTTCTTCAGCGGTGGTGCGTTCTGTCGTCTCCTGGGTACAGGTCTGTCGTAGCCGTGTCGCATGATCTTGGGATCGCCATGAGAGGGTCACGATCGACACAAACGCCAAAACAGCATCGAACCAACAGAGGCGGAACCGCGAGCCACACACCATATTGTTAAAAATTACACTTCCGTTTTCGGTGAACGCACGCTGATGCCAAACTTTGAGCGCATCGGCGCTGTGTGGACGATACGAATGTTGGGTGGGTGCACCGAGAGCGCTGTCGCCTCGGAACACGGCTGGCCGTAGCTTAGTCCCGAACCTTCGTCGATAATTTTGGATCGCAACCACAGCTGCACACCGGCTGTGTTACGAAATCACCCAAGGAATGCTGGCAGGATGTCGTCCCATGTATTCTGGACGTCGGACAGTCTTTCAACAATAAAATATAATACAACATCGGTACGTTTTCCGGGCGCATGCACCGGGGTCACTCCAGAGGAAAGGAAAGCCAGCAGAGGAAGAGGAGTTTACCCGCTGAGGAGACGAAATTACGTTTGAGTGAATCACTACTATTAATAGTGGTTGTAGGAAACAACCAAGATAATTAGTTTTTGTTGTTCCCAAATCGGGTGGAACGCGCGAGAGCTTCGTTGAATTGTGTCCTGCCCTTTCTCGCCGCCTGCCCCCTACTCCTACTCCCCCTACTCGGCTCGAACAAGCTGAAAAAAAAAAAAGTAGGACAAGATGCGGGGGAACCCGAAAAAAAGGGCGCGTGCTTCTGTTAGCACAAGGATTGCGTGTGATAATGCTTGACTCGCCATGCCTGCAATCGTTCCAAGCGCCCCCATTTCGCTCGCGATAGCCAAGTCCACTTGCTGGTGTCCTGGGATAGACGTATGTACCGTTGGACTCCCACGAGTGAAGCTCGGACTCCTTTACTTTCGACTGCAACAACCGCCGTCAACCGTCGTTCCTTCATGCTTGGATGTCTACATAGCTACACCAAGCCAGATGCAGGGTTCTGTGTGTAGCAGTTCTGAAGGCATGACAGTGTATTGATTTGGTAGCAAGAGAGGCTGCGTGACAAAAACCTAGCCTAGGCACCGCCACCCTGCCGTCCTTGCATATCACCCTCTCTGCTTTTAGTTGTCACCCTTGCATGGTGGTACAGCAGTACTGAACTGCTAGCTCTCCGCTGCGTGTGTTGGACTCAAGACAGGAACGGACATGCAGAACAAACCTCGGAATCCCCCTGCCCTGTACCGGCACACTTGACATAGAGGAGTACTTCGACGAACATTCAGCATGACGGGTGAATGGAAAAACGCCCCTCCCCCTGGTTGGGCCCAGCATAGCTATCTTGCTCCGCTCTGCCGACTGGCGACGCTTGAAACGCACGATCTCTTCGGAGCAGGCAAGGAAAGAGCCAAACGAACACATATCGAAAGAACAGCGACACAGAGCAGATCAAACCCGACCGCACATCAGCAGCAACAACCAACCCTGCTTGCAAAAACCAACTTGCCACGCGGCTGTCTCTCACATCCAACAGCCCGCTCTCGCTGAAAGCATCTCCGGGCCGCTTGATCTCCGATGCCGAGCCTTCCACCCCATGCTGCAGCACTCGCAACTCGGCGAATCGTCGAGTGAGATCTCGCGTTGCCATCTCGCAGAAACACACCAACCGGCCGCGGCTATTTTTCCCTCAACCCTCCCCAGTCAAAGCGCAAACCTCTGTTCGCTGTCGGCGGGTAGTTCCAGCTCTCCCCCTGCCCTGCGTTGGCAACACAGCAATGTTTGCGGGTGTATGGGGTAGACGCTAGACAGCGCACTGCTGCAGTGTGACACGGTGCCCACGAGTGCCCAATGTCGATGCCCAACCCAACAGGTGGGGCACGGCAAACAGGACCTTTGAATAAAACAGCAACCCCCCCAACCTATACCAGGAGCTCCGTGACTGTACGAATTCGCGCCTCAATGCTCCGGTCAACGCTCCATTGCTCTGGCGCTCTGCTCTCCTCTTTCTTTCCACTTGTCCACCCCCGCCGGCGGTGGGGAGGGAACGCGTGGAGGAACTATGACGCAACATATGGGCATGATGGATTTCAGTGATGAGGAGGAAATGGACGAGGATTCGAACCCTGTCATTGGGTATCTTCAAGTGCTGCCTCCCAACGCCATAATGCTCAGGGAGATCAATGACGGTATGCTGCGAACGAGAGTCATGTGATCCACTGTGTGTCTCGTTTGTGTCATCGGTAGTGCCTGTGTGCTGCTGCTGCTTTCTCTTGTTAGCTTGCTGACTTCGTGCTGAAGAGAACGTGGACGGGTACAGCAGCAGGTCGCCGTTTCTTCTTACCGGTCGTTGTAGTCGATCAGCAAATTCAAATTTCTTGTCTATCGTCGATCATCGCCGTCTGCATTCGAGGGAGACGGCGAGCAGTAGTTGTAGAAGCTGCATAGGCGTTGTCCGGAACGCGGTGAAGTTCTGTCGGGGGTGGTCACCATAGCGGCGTACAGGCGTGTAGTATTCGTGGACAGCCACTTTCCTGGGCAGAAAGGCCAAACCGGCAGAATTCCAGCATCATCTGAAACCCGAAATCTGCCGCATCTACTGCTGTACAATACAACCGTTTTGAGTGCAGGCAGAACCTCAGGTTACAGGCTACGAGACCAGAAGCGCCGACGTGTAGTCTCGAAACGAGGCAGCTCTTTCCATTGCTTGAAATTATGTGTACACAGCAGCGTATTAATGCACACCCTGCTATTTACATGGCCATTCTTCGTGTCATTTTCGGCCGATGGTCGGGATCTGCAGCTCCATGCTTCACATCGATCCAGACGGTCCTTGCAATAACCTTTGAAAGGTGCCCATTTTTCATCCCTTTGGCGTATCTTCAGGAGAGACGACAGTGGGCCGAAACGAAGACCAAGACATCACGGTAGCCGACCCCAGCGTATCGGGCGCCCACGCCATCATCGAAGTCCTCGAGGTTCCGGGAGGCGGCGGCAAGCGCTTAACCCTTAAGGTGATCCATGCTTCCCAAGCAACAGGGGTTGACACAGAGTTTGGCTTGGGAAAACGGGTACATTCATGGAGCGTCACAGACCTTTCTGCTTCACTTTTTTTCAAGCGCCGCCTGAGGCTAGATTCCTGAAGCTCGACAGCATTGATCACCAGTGGCTCGGCACACGAACGCTTGACTTAGGTGTACCTGTGTTCGTGCATGGTACATACGGTTTTGGACACGTCGAATCACACGATGTTGAGTGTCGTAGTATATCCCCCCCCCCCCCGTTAGAATATTCTCCTCTCGTTGTCTCCTAATGAAATGGATAGGGTGGCAATTGCGGCCTGTCACGACATGGGCCAACCAGCGTTGGCGTACAATTGACTCGAAGACCTCTGTAGTTGTCCGTCGAATACCTCACTCCCCGAATTTTGTCCCCCCCCACTTGCCCCGGTGTTTACCATCGGGGTTGGGTTTTCGTCGCTTGGCAACGAC